TGTGTGTATGAGAAGCCTGCTAATCATAAAGTAAGATTCCTTGTGAAAATAAGTAGCTCACATATTACAGCAGCTACAGAAACCTGCTGTTAACTGTTTCATCTTTTCATTTCTGTAGGGGTTTCAAAATCTCCTTTCATCTTTTCAGATGGGATTCTCTAACAAGCTCACACTGTTCCTGTAGACATCATTGGGGTGTTATCCTGGACTAAATAGGAATAAGTAGAACAAACCTGAACACTTGGGAAAAATCCCCATTGACCTGTTTTTGTGGTTTCTGACCTGTAAAAGTAAATTTGTAAAGGTTTAGGTGAGAAGTAACTTTTCTTTGTGAAAGAAGCAGCAACTTCTTCACCTGCAGAAAAAGAGTCAACAAAAGAAAACCCCAGACAAAATAAACTTTTCCATTTAATTATTAACAAATTTAATGTGAGGTACTACAGCCTTACCTTACAGTTTGGTGCATGTTTGTTGCTGATGCTTGCTACTACAAGCTCCTTGGTTAATCCTGAGGGAGAGGATTCATTTCATCTTTAACAAGATCAGAGAGCATCCAGAGTTATCAGGAAATAGTCCAGCAATCCAGTTGTGGAGTTAACCTTACTCTATTTCATTTTCTTTTCTGTTTATAGCTGGACAGTGCCACTTCTCTCATCCAGGCAGCTAAAAATCTGATGAACGCTGTGGTCCTTACAGTGAAAGCATCATATGTGGCTTCTACTAAATATCAGAAGGTCTATGGTACTGCTGCAGTGAACTCACCAGTTGTCTCTTGGAAGATGAAGGCCCCTGAGAAGAAACCTCTAGTAAAGAGAGAAAAACCAGAAGAATATCAGACACGAGTGAGAAGAGGGTCCCAGAAGAAACATATTTCCCCTGTACAGGCCTTAAGTGAATTTAAAGCTATGGATTCATTCTAAACCACTAAGCTTTACCAGGAGGGTTTTATATTCTTTTTGTATGCATACCTGCCGACTTGTATGTGTCTGGCATGGGGTGGGGGGAAGCCGTGTCAATTTGCATGCAATCTGAGACTATTGAAGTTACTAACTTCCTGCAATGCCAAAATTTAGAGCATTCTCTTCTGATGTGAAAAGGATTTATTCCAAGCTTCCTTTTTAAACTAAACTATAGAATTAAATTGGCCAAAGAATTTGCATCATGGGGGTACGTGTGGGTTAGATTATAAATTCTAAACCCAGAAATTTTTATGCATGCAAGAAACATTAGGTTGGCAGGTATATTAAGTGAAAAAAAAAAATGGAATTGTAATGGTAGACCATAAAGCTTGTATTGCTTCTGTTCCAGTGCAAAAATGTACTAGCCAATATGCTTAAATGTGTGGCCCAATAATTAAATGATATAACTTTTAAGTCATCTTCATTATAGTATGTGAATTTTTAAACCAGATACAAACTAATTCATCTTAAAAAGGCTTCTTTTAAACCATATTTTGTTCTTTATATTCTAGTAGTGTTACGATTGCTCACATTTCAGTTAATCCCATCAATATGACCAGAGGTTTACTTTTGCCAATTGAATTCCTTATGGTGGAGTATGAAGCACAATATGGTGATTGACATTGCCTTTTATATTATGATTATTATTATGATGATGACTAGTAATATTCTATTAGTAATAGAAGACCTGGTGGTGGAATGTTTAGAGACACGGAAACTGACAGTGTGAGAATTTAGAGGCAAATATGTAGGTGTAGCTTGGATTACAGGTATCTGACATACCATTGTAACCACTAACTCAATAAACTCATTTAATCTTGGAATCCTCAATATGGCTCGTCTCTTTAAATGCAAAGATATCTCCTGCATCATAGTTGATGTAGGCAGTGTTTAATTTTGCCTCATGCTTCCTTTTTTTCTTTTTTCTTCCTTTTTTTTTTTTTTCTTTTCTTTTTTTTTTTCCCTTCCCTTGAAGGAAAGGCAACATAGAATCATAGAATGGTTTGGCTTGGAAAGGACCATAAGATCATCTAGTTCAAACCCCTCTGCCATAGGCAGGGATGCCTCACACTAGACCATGTCGCCCAAGGCTTTGTCCAACCTGGCCTTGAACACTGCCAGGGATGGAGCATTCACCACTTCTTTGGGCAACCTGTGCCAGTGCCTCACCACCCTCACAGTAAAAAACTTCCTGATATCTAACCTGAACTTCCCCTGCTTAAGTTTAAACCCATTATATTCATTTTCTTACATTTTATTACCAGGATAGCCAAACATGGTCAGTGGATCAAAAGTAGAATTTAAATCTGAGACAGATTTAAGCGTCAATACGTAAGAGATATATGTGTGTTTTGGGATGAAATTAATTTGTTTAAATACAACATCTCAGAGATAGCATAAAAATAGTTTAATTTATTGAGTTTATGATGTTGGGGTCTCAGAACCTTGGAAATAGTCTATAATGCCACACTGCCTAGACTTGTATAAAGACCACAGTGCAAAGAAATGCAGTATCTGCTTTTATTCCCTTTTAGCCTCAACAGTTGGCTCAACTGCAGAGATTTTATTATTGTTATGAAAAGGTCTTACTATATATGAAAATAAAACAATAACCAGATTTTTTAATATATATAAATAATGAAATACTAACAAGAGACCATTCATAAACTCATAGGGGATTTGAAGCACTGTGATAAACAGTGAGGTATACCTAAGTGACATGTGTAACCCTTACAGTTTTTCAAGAGGTGTTTGGATGCTTGTCTTATATACACTGATTATTCCTCAGAATAGCAAATTACTAAATTTTGTTCTGTTGCCCTCCTACACAGTCTATATAAAGAAATCTACTCTCAGAGGCCTTTTAGGAGATTACTATTTTTGCTTTGTTTAGTTGTGCTGTATAATAAAAAGGTTCGCCGATCGGAACTGGTAACTGTACACATGATGAAAATACATTGGAAGATGCGGGGAAGTCCTTGAAGAGCTTTCCCTATAATGCCCTGTAGTCTGACACAGACTGGCTTTGTGGTACTATTAAATACCTAAAAGTAATTTGGATCTTTACAGATGAAATCTGTAATTGGGGTCTTTACAGAGGCAAAAGATGGATACTGAGTCTAAAGAAAAAATAGCAAATAGCAGACAAAGTGTACAAGTGTGGTGCATGAAAAATAAGATGCACACGTAGCAACAAATAGAAGTACTAGCCCTTCTGAAGAGGTGTTTTGATCTAAAACTGTGATGGATTAACTGAGCAGTTGTTTTTAAATGATGTTGTTGATAAAAGAGACATCTTAAAGTTAGAAATGTTTAGAAGAAAGCATGTAGACAATGCAGTCTATGAACATGTCTTCTAGAGTCTCTGATAATGAAGGCTCCATGGCTAAAAAGGAAGTATGTAATAGAAGAAATCTGTTATCAATCACTCAGTCAAAATAACAATGGTGTGTGCAAAATGCTAAGGAAAATTAGAGTCTGTGCAGGTAAAACCCAGGATCATATCAGGCAACTTAGTTCATGTGAATTAGAGTCCTACTGTAAGATGGATTATTTACATTTTGAAGGGGTCCATCTTTGCACTAAATATCTTCATGATAGCATGATAAAATTTAGTGTTGAAAAATGAAAAGTAATGCATATGAAAATAAGGAGCAAAAACCAACCAGAATATACTAGTTCAGTGCTCAGCTCATGTACTGCAGCCAACAGAATGTTAAGATTGCTGGGAAGAGGTTTAATAGAGAAAAAGGAAAATGCAGGATGATACCATACATCAGGGATGTGCCTACGTTTGAATACGTCATGCAGTTTTTATCAGCTCATCTGAAAGAAGAAATGGCGTAGGAAACATGAGAAAGATTACTGAGTCTGGAACTGCTTTCATACAAGGAGTCTAAATAAGGTAAGAGTCTCCAGATTCTTCAGGGTCATCAATACTGAGGCTACAAGATGACTAAATAAGGAACAAGTAATCACAGGTCTCTATAACTTAAAAGTTAGCTGTGACACAATGAATTATCAAACAGCAAGTTCAATATTGTAAAAAATACTTTTTTTTCTGAAAGTAAGTTAAATCATGGAATTCATTTTCACCATGTCACACTTGCCACAATGGTAACAATTCCACTGACTACACTGGCCAAGAATTCATCCCACAGACTTTGCATCTTGAAACCTTGCAGATCTTCAAAATCTAGAAGACTTTTAAGTCTAATATAAAGTGTAGGCATAAAATAATGTGTGTGGATTTTGGAAATGTTCACTACAGCCAGTCCTTCACTGAGGTAAAGGAACTCATACCACCAGCATAGCGTAATGGAGAACTGCTGGACCTTCAGTCAGAAAGCCGCATGTGTTTCTCGTGATTTAAGAGCTTGGTTCACTAGCCAAATGTATGGGTACCATACCTCTGCCTGTATACGTATAACCTTGAACATTTTCTCTTCAAATTGCACCTACTATGCAAAAGAAGCAATTACACTGCTGTTTCTAGAACAATTATCTATTTCTTAATGTCAGAATTTAGTTGGTTTTAAAGAACTATTTGCTTCCAGCAAATGAATGTACAGCAAATGACCACTTTGAAGACCAGCATGGAGGTCAGACAGGCATCCCTGAACTAGAGGCAGTTTCTGTCCTCATGTGGTCTTCCATGCTGTGCTCACTCTTCTTGTTATTCACATGCCAGGAATTATTTCTTCTATGTTGAGAATCTAGATGCTTGAGTTACAAAAGTGAGTTATATGCTGCTTCTAGGAATGGCTGTATTGGCTGTATCTTTTGCCCTGTGGCCATGAGGAGAAGGTGAAAGTGGTCCGGTTTATTTCCCGTTTAATGAATTATGGAATGTCTCAGTTTATAATACACTTCTTCAGCAAGAACAGCAGCCGATTTCTGAATGAAGAAGTTGTGAAAACAGAAAGTCTGAGAACTTTTAGATAACTTTCAAAATAATTTTCCTAAGGTTTTTTTTTATTTTCTGATTGGTTTATTTTTTGCATTAAGAATTTGAAAGTGAGAAGAAGAGTTAAAATAGCTAAGTATGTGTTCTAGATCAAGGAGCAAGTAATGAAGGAACTTCTGAGCAAGACATATTATTACAAAGGAATAGAGGCTTTAGATGGGGTAAAGAAATGGAACCTGAGTGTAGTAAAATAAGAAGACATTACTCATACATAGCACTTTCTTATCCTTAATCCCCAGTGATCTCAATTACATCATTAAACTTATACATGAGTTTAAGTGCTTGGCCGCATATAAATGATAGTATTCATACGCTTAAAGTTGAACAAATGCTTTGATAATAAGGAAGCTGGGGATAAAGCTCTGCACAGATTCACTTTGATCCCATATTTTTCTTGCTACTGTGTCCTTAGAGTGTGAAGTAACAATCAATAGTTCAGTTCTTTTACATTATAAAAAGAGGTGAACAAGGTGTGGAAATGCAGTGGGAAACAATCCCACAAAGACTAAAATACTGGGTGGATATTTTTATATCTAGCACATTGTTTTAGATCTCCACATGAAAGCTGGCCAAAACAAGTTTCCTGTGTCGCTATGAGACTTGAGTTTAATACAGAGGATGTATATTTATAAGCTTAAAATTACATTTTTACATACTAAAATGTAGATTTCAATAGGATTTTCATGCAAAAATCAAGTGAGGGTTTGTGGTTTTTTTTAAATGAAGCCCCCAGTAGGAATCTAAACTAAAAGCTTATGATGGAAATTAGGCAATGTATCTCCTTCCACTCCATTTATAAATATGCCTTCAAGCAACCTTTCCGATCAGACTTGGTTGTTCAGTTGTTTTTGCCAGGCAGAGAATAAATAAGTGTGTGGAGATGGAAGGAAGCTGAAATGGAGAAAGAGAAGTTTTATGGTTTCAACCTCATCAGTAGTTTGTCCAGAAATAAAAGGTCACAGCTGAAGCTTTGTGCAAGGACAGACACATTATCCCATATGATTTTAGGAGTGAATTTAAGCATCTGTTTGGAAGTTGAGCATGTACCAAGCTTGTTGCTGAATTGCACTTGCAGAGATCAGGAATAGTCAAGAGTCTTTCTGGTTTCTCACTGAATGACCAAGTGCATCTTCAAGCAAGAGTTCACACTTTTCTCCTGCTTTAGATATTTTTCCTTTTATGATTCAGTTAACACCAAGCTATGGAGAACTTGACAGCTTGATAAAAGCTGTGGGAGGTAGAAATGTATTTTTGTGCTGTAGTTATACCTTTAAAGGAATAAATATTTAATTACTTGAGCAACGTTTCCTTCTTTTAATAATGTCAGGTGAGGTGTCATAGGTGAGTAACTGTTACCCAGTATTTGCTTCTCCGTTTGAGTAACATTTCAAAGTGCTGGTGTTATTGAAGAGAGATGCATCTTTGCAGCAGAATGTGAAATGCTTATCCTTACCTGATTTATCGCAGCTCACTAAAAACTAAGTACAAGGAAGAAAGAGAACTAATATTTCCAAAGCCTCCTAGAATATTCAGAGGTAATGACTTTGCTAGAAGGATGTGTTCGATCTATTTTATTTTCTGAAACATTTCATGCAGGAATTATCAAGAAGGGTTCTTTGGCCTACATTTCCAGGAGGTTGCATTAAATTGCCTTAATGGCCCTGTCTACTCACTGAACCGTAGATTTGGGGAAAAAAAATCAAGGTTTTAATCTTAATTTCTCTTAATCTCTTTGATTATTTTCCTTTAACTGTTTCTAGATTTATTATTTATGTGTACTTTGTGGGTGCATGCATGCACACACAAGAAATGCCAGGATACACAGAGATTTAGATGGCCAAGCAGCAATTTACTCTCCAGGAAG